ACTACGATGATGCGTAACCATGAAGCCGAAATTGCCTATATATAGTGTGAACGTGAGGCTTTTTATATTCAAAGTTCAACTTCAAACAATGCGGCTGTAACTTGTAAGAATGAAGTCATAAGGGTAATTTCGGAAAATCAGGTTGGAGGAATCGAGTCCTCGTCACATGAGGGCCCACATGAATGCGTAAGTAAGACTATCCGCTTACCAGACGGACACGTCATTTTGTCGGGGACACGTTTGAGCCGTTGGATTTTAAATCTCCTTTTCTGGCTTTCGACCCCACGTAGCAAGCAGCAATAATAATAATCCATTTTTTTTTTTCCCACTACAAATATTGATAGCCACGTCAGATGATTCGAAGTTATAATTTACACACGTTCTTTCTTACTCTAGGCGGCGTTAAAGCAGCATTACAGTCGATTTTTTTCTAAACGAGATCAACGGTCTAGATTAAAATCTGACGTGGTCTTTACCTTTGCTTACGTCATCGAAAACGTACGTAGAAACACTAGTATTATGCCCTCCGATTTCTTTGTACTGTACACAAAATAAATAAACAAAAGTAGAGAGCCCAGACAATATTTACTACATCACCCAGTGGGTAATCGACACGTAGATACATCCATGTTACTCGCATTTTGTAACGTAGGGACCACTTCGTGGATAGAAGCTCTTTTACGCCAACGCAAAAAACAATAAAAATAAATCTCGTTGGCCCTTTAGCCTCTAGATGCCGATAACTCTCTACTGGCGTGGCTTACTTTTTATCCGTTGGATCATTCGTTTATCCCAGCCGTTGGATTCGAAGCAGTTGTCGGGCTTGTGGGCCTTTTCTTTATTTTTTTTCTTTTGGTAATAATGAAGGAAAACAAATAAAAAGTGTGTGTGTTTTTTTTTAATTATTCCTTGTTGGTGCTTCCATGATGGCAAAAACGTGGCCATACACGTGGGTCGTCTCGTGGCACCTTTGGAAGATATGAAGTGAAGAATGGACGGTCCAGATCTTCAGTTTGGTCGACAGAAGTGCTCTCCGCGTCGGAGATACTACTACTACTACTAGTCAAAGGTCTTTTCTTCCTTTGTAGTATTTTACAAGAATGTCCCTTCTTTCTAATCAAATTTTTATCTAAATTATTCGAAGCAAAAAACAAATATGCCCATCCGTATTGTTTCTATTTTCATGCCATATACATTTTGGACTCTCTTATGAAAATATGGCGTCACTAAACTAATATGATATGATATTTATGTAATGTAAGAAATTATTCTTTTGGTCGTAAATGTATCTAACCAAAAATAATGATTCGGCAAATTCGTTGGAGGTTTATTTTTTTACCTTTTAATGTTGCACATGACTTTCACTGATGTGAATGTGATGACGGATTTGAAGAGATTATACACTATGGTAAATCTCGAATTTTATTTTTAGAAAACTATATTAACTGCATAAAAAAAGACTTGGGAAATTTAAATGGACGGACCACGTAAGTCACATGAGGGATGCGTAGAGCGACTAGCAATCGAACACGTGTACGGTAGAGATGACATAAGAAATGGCTGGCACTAAACTCGATGAGCCAACTCATCAAACACCACCGTAGTTTACGCTGTTATATATTCGCTTGACACGTGTCTGATGACGTGGTCATCGTCTTGGCGCTCCGTTTTTCCCCTCTCTCTCTCTCTCTCTCGTCTCCCTTCCCTCAAAAAAAAAAAAAAAACTGAACTCTTTTTCTCGCTCTGTTTTTTAGAGAGAGAAAGATGAAAATGCGTTTCATTGCTGTTTAGGTTTCGAATTCGCGATTGAAATTTCTGGGTTTGTGTCTGTGTAAGCTGCTTCTTCTTCATCTTCTACTTACGCTTCTTCAAGGAGCTTTCGGATTCTTGAAGGTATTGCATAACTTAAAGTGTTCAAATAGAAATTGTTTGGTCGAAGAGTCTATTATTTGGTTTCTCCATCATCCATTGGTCTTCTTAGTTTCGGTATAAAAATTCATACCTTTTTTGATCGTTTGCTTTTGCACTTACTTGAATTGAATTGAATTAAAGTTTTTGAATTTAAGCGAGAACAGCAAAAGCGGAGAGAAGAACAGAGCTTCATTTTATTTGGTGCATGTGATTGTTTCAGGGGCAGAATTGTCCATTAGTAACCGCTTTGTTGATTCCTTTTGTCTTCATAAAAGTTTTCTGAACATAGGATGGGAGAGAGAAAGACTATTTTATCCTTCTCTCTCTGTCCCTCTATTTCTCCCACAACAACAAACAACAACATCCCTTGATTTTGCAGAAAGAGTCATTGTTCTCTTGAGTGGGAAAAACTTGAAACCATCCATTCCCTATGGGAAATAGCAGCGAGGAACCAAAGCCTACCAAATCAGATAAACCATCTTCACCTCCGGTGGTATGTTGGAACAGTCTCCAAACCATAATTCCCAAAGTCAAATTAGTTTTTCTTTAAATTCCTTATGCGTTGACTTGACTCTTGTTGATAGGATCAAACAAATGTTCATGTGTACCCTGATTGGGCAGCTATGCAGGTTAGTCTTTTTTTTTTTTAATTACTCTCCAGTTTATGTACTAGTAATAATACCATGTTGATGATAATAAAAATGATTCATGATATGTTGCTGCTAGGCATATTATGGTCCAAGAGTTGCAATGCCTCCTTATTACAATTCAGCTTTGGCTGCATCTGGTCATCCTCCTCCTCCTTACATGTGGAATCCTCAGGTAGTTTACACAAACACGAATCATCTTGTGCAAATATGGTCAAGATTAGGAAGACGTTTCATTGGTGTTTTGGTGGTCTTGAATCTTTCAGCATATGATGTCACCATATGGAGCACCCTATGCTGCGGTTTATCCTCATGGAGGAGGAGTTTACGCTCATCCCGGAATTCCCATGGTATATAGTAATTCGGTTCCTCAAACATCTCGTAGTTGAATCCTCCTTGATCTTGATCGTTTATTTGACTGGCTTGAGTTTCTGTGGACAGGGATCACAGCCTCAAGGTCAAAAGACTCCACCTTTAGCAACTGTAAGTTGAATAACTAGTTTGATACATCAAGGATTGAGAAATGGTTTTGTTCGTTGTTTAATGGGGGTTCTTGTTTATGGCAGCCGGGGACGCATTTGAGCATCGACACTCCTACTAAATCTACGGGGAACACAGACAATGGATTGATGAAGAAGCTGAAAGAGTTTGATGGGCTTGCTATGTCTCTAGGAAACGGGAATCCTGAAAATGGTGCAGATGAACATAAACGATCACGGAACAGCTCAGAAACTGATGGTTCAACTGATGGAAGTGATGGGAATACAACTGGAGTAATGTTTCTCTTCTCTTGCTCTCAGCTATCTTTAGTTTTTTATATGATCGTCTAAAGCCTAAAACCTTTTCGCATGTTTCCAGGCAGATGAACCGAAACTTAAAAGAAGTCGAGAGGGAACTCCGACAAAAGGTATATAGCTTTATTCATGTCCCAAAGATTTAGATTCAGTGTAATATTCGATATAACAGGAATTTTCATTCATTTGTTTGGCAGATGTGAAACAATTGGTTCAATCTAGCTCATTTCATTCTGTTTCTCCGTCAAGTGGTGATACCGGCGTAAAACTTATTCAAGGATCAGCTATACTCTCTCCTGGTGTAAGTGCAAATTCCAACCCCTTCATGTCACAATCTTTAGCCATGGTTCCTCCTGAAACTTGGCCTCAGGTACCGTGTGACTTATTTTGAGCTTCCACTTGACGGAATTTTTTTTGTTTCGTTTCCCTCACCAAGTACCCACTCTTGTCTTCAGAACGAGAGAGAACTGAAACGGGAGCGAAGGAAACAGTCTAATAGAGAATCTGCTAGAAGGTCAAGATTAAGGAAACAGGTTAGGTTAATGAAAGAAAACAGTGAAGCTCTTTAGATATTATTTCTCTAAGTGTGACTTTCATCAAAACATTTAACAAGCTAATAAAACTCTCTGTCTTTCCTTGTTTTGAAGGCCGAGACGGAAGAACTTGCTAGGAAAGTCGAAGCCTTGACAGCCGAAAACATGGCACTAAGATCTGAACTAAACCAACTTAATGAGAAATCTGATAAACTAAGAGGAGCAAATGCAACCTTGTTGGTAAGTAAGAAATCATTAATTAACAGATGATCTTTTATGAAGGTGTGTACGTCATTTTCTTGAACATGTCCGGTTCTTTTTGGGTTGCAGGACAAACTGAAATGTTCAGAACCTGAAAAGAGAGTCTCCGGGAAAATGTTGTCTAGAGTTAAAAACTCAGGAGCTGGAGACAAGAACAAGAACCAAGGAGACAATGATTCTAAATCTACAAGCAAATTGTACCAACTGCTGGATACAAAGCCCCGAGCTAATGCTGTAGCTGCGGGCTAATCGATGATAAATGCGGGTGTCGATTTCTACTTAATTTGTCGACATAAACAAAGGAAACAAGTGCTATACTAATTTCAGAAAACTTGATAGATAGTATAGTAGAGATCAGAGAGATGTGATGATTATTGATCTATAAATTTTCGTAGAGAGAGGGAGAAAGAGAACTTTTCCTCCAGATGAAAAGTTGGTGTTGTGGTTTGTTGCTGTTAATATAGAGAGGCTTTTCTTGTTTTATAAATGGCTTCCTTTGTTGCATTTAGACCTGATGTAATTTTATGAGATCGGTGTTGTTACTTTGCATAAGCTTTTTTTTTTTTTGAAGTATTCATGCATAATGGATTTTTTTTTTTTTTCTTTTTTCTAAAGGGACGAATCCATTTAAGAAGAAGAGGAAAGCACACCAGCAATTAAACATGAGATTACAAAACGACCTGTTTTATTGCCATAGTCTGAACTCTGAATGTAATCGAGATAAATATATAATGTTGTAGAATTGTTGATTAAATTCTCAAAATAAAATAAAAAGACGTAAGGCAACTTTTCTTGGTAAAGAAACTGAATATTAATACAGAGCAGGTTAATCAACTTATTGTACTGAGAAGAAATGAAAACTAAAGATTCTGCCAAAATTCAAAAGCTTTTATCATCAAGGTATTGGTATTGGTATTGGTAGTACATAAAAACATGAAAATGTTAAAAAAGCGAGAAAACAAAATCCGGAATGGGAGACTTTTTCAAAGAATCTAAAATCTTTGATGTTGAAGTAGTCGGAATCTAAATCTTGATGTTGAAGTAGTCGGAGTCAAAATGATGCAGCCTCACGTAACCGTCTTCACCTCCACTAGAGAAACTGAAAAAATATATTCCACAAACTCAGTGACAGAGCCAAAAAGCACACGCAAAAACTCATCATGTGAAGGATTGTATCAATCAATCAAAACCAAATGTTGTTAATTTACCTCTTCCCATCAGGATTGAATGCCAAAGCATTTATAGGTCCAAAATGACCTTTCACACCACCAATTTCCTCTTGCAGAATCTATATATTATACCGAACACAATGATACACAGTTATATATATATATATATATATATATATATATATATATATATATATTCTAGGTTAAATGTTTCCAAGTAAAACACTCTTATTGTAAACACTAACCTTGTCGTAAAACTTAGCTTCAAACTTTCCAGCACGATGATCAGTGGTAGTCACAGCTGATGCATCTTGACCACCTCCAAGTACAACCTAAAAGAGAGAGTAGAAACATTCAAAAAGATAACATCATGCCTTGCTGATTCTGGGATTCGAATTTGAATTTCATGAGGCATTAGTGCATACATGGTTGAGAAGTGGAGACATGGCGACAGCATTTACGGGCACCCCAGTGGTGTAAGTCTTGATAAGAGTCAGCGTTCTCATGTCCCAAAGCTGAAAGAATCAACAAAAGGAACATTCTATTAGATGATTTATATCTATATGTATAGAGCAAGACTTTGAAACAAGAGAAAGAAGTAAAAGAAAGAAGCACATGCCTTTGCAGTTTTGTCATGTGAACCTGTAAGGAAGTGAGAATCATCAGCTGCTTTACAGAGCGATGTAATGGCCTTCTTGTGACCCACTTCCTCATTTGTTTCATTGAGCAATTTTCCAGTCTAGCAACAATGGCAATAGCATCGCAGAGTTTAAATCTAAATAACATAAAAAGCGAAACTGATACACAAAAGAAAGGCCACAAGAAATATGAGTTACCTCCGTATCCCAGATTCTGATAACAGTATCTTCACCAGCACTAACAATAGTTTGATTCAGGGGACCCCAAACAGCTCTATTGATCCTCTTCTTTCCGTCAGGGCATTGAAGGACAAGCACAGAATCACTAACCTCTACACAAATGCATCAAACAAACAACTTTTCCTTTAATACATACAAGAAATTGGCTAAAACTTAAGAAGTAGTTCAACCTAGAATGTATGTATAACTTACGGTCTTCAGGATCTTCGGCAATACGCTTCACATGAATAGCAGCCATACGGTCCACGAAGTGATCAGTGGTAATCACTGCAAGATGATCTCCAAGAGCGAAATCCACAGACCTCGTAGGGGAACCAAACTTGAATGTGAACAATTCTTTTCCAGATTTCACATCCCAGAGCTTTGCAGTCTGATCAGCACTACCAGTGATCAATCTTGACGAGTCTCCTAACAAATCACAAACGAATCACAAAACATTCACTCGATACTATAAACCCTAAACAAGCCATCACAGTAGCTAAGGGAAAACATTGAATTTAATCATCTACTCGATACAATTTGAATCAATTTCAGAAAAAACTGAGAAACTTACGGGAGACATCACAGCACCAAACAGCACCGTTGTGGCCACGGTATGTGCCAAGGCGCTCGCCGTTATCGGCAAACCAGAGGGTGGGAGTGTGATCCTTGGCGCAGGAGAAAAGTAGATCGCCATCTTTGTTGTACCTCAGGAACGTCAATGGACGTTCATGTCCCTTCATCAAAATCGGCCTCATCTTCAATTTCCTAGGGTTTGATGCGAAGAGCTTCGAACCTTGAAAACAAATACGAAATCGAATCAATAGAAAGAACAGAAGATAATTGAAGAAACGATTATGGAAGACGGCTTTCTTCTTCACCTGTTCACTTGAGAAACGAAGGGAAAGAGCAAAAACCCTAGGAAATAAACTTTGTGCCCTCTTTTGACAATTTTAACCTTGTCTCATTCTTTAAATTACTCGATATGCCACTATTTAGCTATTGTGTAACCTATAGAGTTTAGGGACTACTAAATTCATTATTAGCTCAGTGGCTGTATCGTTTTTAGCTTGTTCCTTATTTGTGGTGAGTTCGATCCTCTTCTCTTGCGTATATTGTAGTATTTTCGCTACTCAAAAGCAGTTTCTTAGGATTTTTCTTTTTTTTCTGTAATTGCTTTTTTCTTTTGAACCTCTTTGCTTATAAATACAAGTATAAAACTCTCTATTTCTCGCTGCTGCTTCTTCTTCTTCTTCTCTTCTAGAGCCAATTATGTCTTTATATAGAGACTCTGTGAGTTCCGATGATGATGATGATGATCCAAGTTTGAAGTAAAAGCTGATGATGATCTCTGCAACATCCGTAAGAATTAAATTGATCATAAGTTTGGTTTCGAGCAAACCCATTGATTATTGAATATCACTGCCCTTTAAAGTCATTTGTGGCACATAGAGTCTATGTTCATACCTCTTCCTTGTCCTTGCAACTGATGTTTTTGAAGGTAGAGATGATATTGTGCTGTTGTTTTGTTGTTCTTCTTGGCTAGTAGTTACGTATTTCGAGTTGTGAGAGCCTCTCTGTTTTTCGGAATGGGATTCTCTGGGGCAGCTCCGATTCTACATAAGTTGATCATCTTTTGGGATCAACCTGAAGCGCTTCACACAACAGGTTATATGAGATTTTGATGGGTTTGCTCTACGGGTTAGGAGCTTTGGTTTATGCAACTACGATTCCAGAGAGATGGATGCCGAGGAAATTCGATGTAGCTAGACATAGCCATCAGTTGTTTCACGTTCTGGTGGTTGCAGGTGCTTTCACGCACTATACAGATGGGCTTGTGTATCTTAAGTGGAGAGACATTAAAGGATGTTGAAGATTGAAGATTGAAGATGAAGGAAGATTAGATGGAGTCTTTGATGTTTTAAATCTTGTTTGTAGCTTCATATAAAAGTTGGATTATATGTAAAGTCTTATGTGTAATCAAATGTATAGTTTTTTCCTTTATTCAACAAAGGAATTCATATATTGTTATTACTGATTACAGAATGTGTAAGTATGTGTCGCTGTTCGTTTGATCAACTTTTTGGATAGAGATCCAATATATCAGACTGTTTCATAGTTTTACACTTCAACTGTTTTAAGTTTGTAACTTTCTAAACCTCATTAAAGCAGCAAATACGAAACGTTGAATTGGTACTTTTGAATGCTTTTGATTGTTACCGAAGACAAAAACAACATGGATGGTTAAAGAATGCTCTGTTATGTATTATTGATGGTTAAGTCACTCACTTGTCATTCAAATAAGAAAACTTCAAATGATTTATCTTAATCAAAAGTTGTAAAGTGATCAACTTTTTAATCAAATAAGAAAACAACTTTTTATTACCGTTGTGACTTGTGATCAATTTCTATTTTTTCGTAACCCAAATATTAAAGGGAAAACCTAACCTTTAAGTGATTTCCTTTTTCTCATTAAACCAATTTCCTTTTTTTAGGTTAACCTTCCCTTATATATATATATATTGATCGCTTCTTCTATAATTCTCATACGTCTTAAGGAAAACAAAAACCCTAATTCTTCTTTTTTCTTTAATACATGTTTCTTCTCGAAATCTCTTACCGAGAGAATCGTCGATCTCGAGACCATCAAGCCGATCGATGCGAATCCGACAAAGTCACAGACAAATCCCGTCGGAACTGTAACTCGAAAGATGTCTCGTGTTTGATCAATCAGAACGATTCCAAGTCGGGTCTCTCTAATCTCACAAGAGCGAAAGATCTCGCCACTGTTCAAGAGGTGATGAATGTCCTTTCTTTTTCTTTTTCTTAATCCGTTTCGTATATTATTATTGCTTGCGTCTCTGTTTTTGCGTTTCACCATCTCTGTTTTTAACAAACAGTTAGTATTTTCTTATTTCTTTTATGCTTGTTTTAATATTTATTATCATCAAACACCGTTGACTTTATTTTCATGTCACTTGACTTTCTTTTACCTGGATTATAACATCGAATGTCTCATATCAATTTCTTTCTTAATTAACCTATAGTTACTATGGATGCAGCATATGCGATTAACACTGGCATTGGCGACGGTAGCTACTGAGAACGAGGACTTTGTAGCATAATCGAATTTCTATGGAGTGGAGTCGCTTGAGGATGGATGAAGAAGAAGATCAAAACTGAGTTTCGTGACATACGACAAAGAGAAGGTGCAGTGAAGGCTAACTAATGGGCCTTGGCAATTAGGCTTTTCGTACTCCTCACTAGTACCCAAATCCAAACCAGGTAATAACCCTTTATTTTCTTGTGTTTTTTTTCCTTTTTAATTTTATTATTTTGATATTAAATTTACATAATGATTAGAAAAAAAAATTCACTAAAACAACTTTAATACTTAAAAACTTTTTAAAAATAATTAATATTTTTAACTAAAATCATTTTAATTCCACTATTACTTTTTAAAAAGAGAAATTGTTAAAAATGCCCCTTTTTCAATACCCTTTTCAAAAATGCCCCCTTTGAGAGTCCATTTTTAAGTTTGCCCTCTTTTAATTTTTAATGACCATTTTACCCTTATTTGAAACAAAATTAGGTCCACAAAATACAAAATAATTTTTGGCGGGAAAAGTGATCCCGCAATTTTCCCGCCAAAACACTTGTAAAAACCTTGTAAAATTTTCCCGTAAAAATTTTTCCCGCCAAAAAATTTTCCCGCCAAAAAAATTTTTTTGCGGGAAAAGTGATTCCGCAATTTTTTTGCGAAATTTTTTTGGCGGGAAAATTTTTGGCGGGAAAAATTTACAAGGTATTTTAAAGGTTTTTTACAAGGTATTTACAAGTGTTTTGTAAGGTTTTACAATGTATTTTAAAAGGTTTTACAAGGTACTTTTAAGGTTTTATAAGGCATTTATAACTTGGATTACCTAATAAAAACCTTGAAAAACCTTATTTCTTGTAATAACTTTATAAAAGAGCTTGTAAGGCTTATAATATCTTATAAATACCTTTGTTAATACTTTTTAAAAACTTTTAAAATATTAGGTTAATCTAGTGAATACGTTTTTACAACACTTAAATAATCCCGGTATCGAATAGAGAGTGGATATGGGAAAATAACACATCGACAACTAAAGG